GGATTACAGGCTTGAGCCACCGCGCCCGGCCCTTTAAAATTTTTGTACCCAGATGAGCTGATTCTTTATCTTTTTTCCACGGGAGAACTAAGTATACAGGTGAGAAAAGACAAGATATATTAATATATCTGAGAGAACTGATGGTGAAATCAATTTTTTGGGTTAGAACTTCCCCAAACAGTGTCCTTCAAATAGGGTTCAGGGGTGCTAAGATATTTATCTCCTAAAACCTTGGGGTTCACTCCAGTATGGCATATAAATATTGTATCACTTTCTATGTGTGGTGAGCAGTGCTCCAGGTGACCTTCCTTCCTTTCCTTCTAGGGGAGGAAGTTGCCTTGTACTGTGCCAAATATCTTCCTGATATCATCAAAGATCAGAAGGCCTACAAGGAAGGCAAGCTACAGAAGGTCTGTCTTCTCACACTGTTCATTCCTCACTTGTGTAGGCTTTTCCCTTGTTCTCCAGCCCTTGGGCTTTTCTTTTCTTTTTGTCCCCTAGCTGCTACTTATTTACTTGAAGGTCTGTCTTCTCACACTGTTCATTCCTCACTTGTGTAGGCTTTTCCCTTGTTCTCCAGCCCTTGGGCTTTTCTTTTCTTTTTGTCCCCTAGCTGCTACTTATTTACTCTTGAAGAATTCGGTGTCTAAAACGAGCTTATTAGCTGCGTTTTAGACTTGTCTTCTTATTCCCAGGCCTCTGAACTGTTTTTATCTTTGAGTGTCTCTTAGTGTGGTGGCTTATACTCTAATTTGTTTTCCTTGTGCTCAGGATTGTATATAAGCAATTCATTTTGTACTAGTCTTAGATTATTTTGCTTATATTCAGGCTTTAGAGGATGCCTTCTTGGCTATTGATGCCAAACTGACCACTGAGGAAGTCATTAAAGAGCTGGCACAGATTGCAGGGCGACCCACTGAGGATGAAGATGAAAAAGAAAAAGTAGCTGATGAAGATGATGGTGAGTGTGGCATCCATTGTTTGAGAGGATATCAGTATTTTAAGAAATATTCTTTAATACTACTTATTTATCAGTTCTAAGATAGGATGGCCTTCTAGGTACCTGGGGAGTCCTTATGTTAAAGAAACCAATAGTGTTCTCCTGCATTGTATGTGGTTATGAAAAGGAGGGAGAGAATTATCTTTGTGGAGTGATATCTTAGCTGTAAGCATTATCTTTGGAGTCTTCCTGGTTCCTGCTGGTATTTCTGTGCTTTTTTTTTTCCCTCAAGACTGGAACAGTTATTAGCCCTAGTAGCCAGTCATTAAGCCTAACTCCTAATTCTATAATACCATTTCTGGTTTCCTGGATCCTCAGCCAGAATAGGGCTTTCACAACTTAACAGTAACAAATGAGATGTGAGAGGGGAAATATAGTAACTAGTGTTGCTTTGATTAAGAAGAGGATGAAACTCAAAAACCAAAAGAAGTCTGTGGAGGAGGAAGAGCTAGGAGATATTCTTCTGAGACTTGATAAGCGAGAGGAACCTTAGGAGTGGGAGGTTGTGGGGAAGTTAGAACTCAGGCTGTCGAGGTAGTGAGAGGGACTGATCCCATGAGGCGTCTGGCATGGGGGCTCTGATTTAGCCTCTTCCCTGCAGTGGACAATGAGGAGGCTGCACTGCTGCATGAAGAGGCTACCATGACTATTGAAGAGCTGCTGACACGCTACGGGCAGAACTGTCACAAGGGTCCTCCCCACAGCAAATCTGGAACTGGGACAGGCGAGGAACCAGGGTCCCAGGGCCTCAATGGGGAGGCAGGACCTGAGGACTCAACTAGGGAAACTCCTTCACAGGAAAATGGCCCCACAGTCAAGGTCTACACAGGCTTTTCCTCCAACTCGGAACGTGGGACTGAGGCAGGCCAAGTTGGTGAGCCTGGCATTCCTACTGGTGAGGCTGGGCCTTCCTGCTCTTCAGCCTCTGACAAGCTGCCTCGAGTTGCTAAGTCCAAGTTCTTTGAGGACAGTGAGGATGAGTCAGATGAGGCGGAGGAGGAAGAGGAAGACAGTGAGGTAAGGGCCTGTGAGGGCAGGCAGATGCTGAAGTAGCAGAGAGGTCCTGTTTTGTTGCCAACTGTAGTTTTCAACTCTCCCCTAAGACCCACTGTATTCTAAGCTTTAGCCCTGAATTCATTGAGCTCCATCATTACAGGTACCATTTGCCTTCTTACCTCTTCCTTTGTTGATACTATAACAAACAGATCTAGTTCTGGCTTTTGTCTGTCTCCTAGAGAGAGAACAAGAAGATAGTTGTTATCTTGGCTTAGTTTTCTTCTCTGGACAATTTATTTTCTGGCCACGGTGCCTAAAAGATACTTTTGGCTGGCAGCTCTTGCCTTGTCCTGGGCTTTTTGCTAGTGACTGCTAAGCTCAGTTCAGGATGTCAGTTATACTCATGCTAGCCCTTTCCATCCCCCCTGTTTTCATGACCATATACTTGTATCTTTTGGTGTTTTGAGGACCTGTGTTCAGTCAGAGCCTCTTGATTCTGAGTATGTGCTGGAGGGGAGGGAGAGGATCATCACAGTCTCAGCAGTCTGGGATCCTCCCTCTGGCAGGAATGCAGTGACGAAGAGGATGGCTACAGCAGTGAGGAGGCAGAGAATGAGGAAGACGAGGATGACACTGAGGAGGCTGAAGAGGATGATGAAGAAGAAGAGATGATGGTACCAGGGATGGAAGGCAAAGAGGAGGTATGTGGGGAAGGGGAGCAGTGAGTCTTAAAAAGCCACAAGGCAGGTGTGAAACCCCAGATTTTTATTTTGAGACAGGGGATCCCCTGATACTTTAGGTTGGAAGTCATAGTCATGGGGATTTATTCTGCAAGGGAAACGAGGTGGTGGTAAGCCTTTGGGGTCAAATTATCTAAAAACAAGGGAGAGAGAATGTGCTGCTGTCTCTCAAAAGATGAAATCTGCCCAGTGCAGTGTCTCACGCCTGTAATCCCAGCACTTTGGAGGCTAAGATGGGTGGATCACCTGAGGTCAGGAGTTCAAGACCGGCCTGGCCAACATGGCAAAACTCCGTCTCTAATAAAAAATACAAAAGTTAGCCATGCGTGGTGGCAGGCGCCTGTAATCCCAGCTACTCGGGAGGCTGAGGCAGGAGAAACCACTTGAACCCGGGCAATGGAAGTTTCAGTGAGCTGAGATCACACCACTACACTCTGGCTTGGGTGATAAGAACAAAACTCTGTCTTTAAAAAAAAAAAAAAAGATGAAATCTGTGCTTCTCCTGTTTGTTAAAGCTCTTTTGGGGGTCCCAGTGGAAGCAAGCATAGGTGAATGGTCAGGAGCACATCAGTGAGGAACTCATGTTCAGAAGCTCCCATGATGCTCCCTTTCTTCCTCTTAAGCCTGGCTCTGACAGTGGTACGACAGCTGTGGTGGCCCTGATACGAGGGAAGCAGTTGATTGTAGCCAACGCAGGAGACTCTCGTTGTGTGGTATCTGAGGCTGGCAAAGCTTTGGACATGTCCTATGATCACAAACCAGAGGATGAAGTAGAACTAGCACGTATCAAGAATGCTGGTGGCAAGGTCACCATGGATGGGCGAGTCAACGGGGGCCTCAACCTCTCCAGAGCCATTGGTAAGGGCCAAGAAACTCTGTTCCAGACTACCTAGTAGCAAACTTTAATCTTCCTAGCACTTGTGCCTTTCAAAGCACTTTAATATCTACCTCTGTTCTTATGTTCCTGTGAAATAGCTAAGATGGGTATAGGTATCATTATACCTATCTTAGGTAATGGTTGAATGATGAGAAAGACTGGTGAGTGACTCTTAAGGTTCAGCAATCTGGTGGCAGGGCTGAGACTAGAAAAACTAGGACTCAGTTTTCCATTCCACTAGATTATGGAACTTTGTAAAGAAGAGAAATGAATGGCAAGGTTTGACCTGCCACAAACACAAGTCTGTGGGAAGTATCCAAACTGTTCATCAACCAATCATTCCTTTACTCCAGGGGACCACTTCTATAAGAGGAACAAGAACCTGCCACCCGAGGAACAGATGATTTCAGCCCTTCCTGACATCAAGGTGCTGACTCTCACTGACGACCACGAATTCATGGTCATTGCCTGTGATGGCATCTGGTGAGCACTGGCAGAATGCCCTAAATTCCCCTTTCTGCAGCATTTCTTCTCTTATAGGGCTCAGGCCATCTCTAGGATTAAAGCCTAGGCAGACCTAGGCCTCTTGGTGAGTCAAGAGCACCCAGACTAAGGCAGAGCTGAGAGTTTCTGTAGGTATTTACACTGGCCTGGGCCACCACCTCTATCCATACTCCTCTACTCTGCCTTGGTGGGATTAGAAAATTCTGACTGTTGTTCTCAACCCCAGGAATGTGATGAGCAGCCAGGAAGTTGTAGACTTCATTCAATCAAAGATCAGCCAGCGTGATGAAAATGGGGAGCTTCGGTTATTGTCATCTATTGTAGAAGAGGTGAGTACCAGGGTAGAGAAGAGAGGGTATCTGGTCTGCACAGCTAGGGTATACTCTTTTCATCTGAGCCAAGTTGGCAATCTGGGAGCGTACCATTAATTGCTGACAGACGCTGAACCCTGACTACAAAGTTCCACCTTCTCTTATTTCCCTGACTTAGCCTTATGCCTTATGGACTAGCAAGTGGGCTGTTTTATGATACCTCTTGCCCATTGCTCTCCTTCTACCACTCTGACTCAGGAGGCCAGCCCTCTTGTGGGACTCCAGGTTCCCAGAAAGGTGTTCAAACCCTGTAGCTGAGCTATCCCCATCCCTTTTGTAGCTGCTGGATCAGTGCCTGGCACCAGATACTTCTGGGGATGGTACAGGGTGTGACAACATGACCTGCATCATCATTTGCTTCAAGCCCCGAAACACAGCAGAGCTCCAGCCGGAGAGTAGCAAGCGGAAACTAGAGGAGGTGCTTTCTACTGAGGCGGCTGAAGAAAATGGCAACAGTGACAAGAAGAAGGCCAAGCGGGACTAGCAGTCATTCAGACCCCTGCCCATCTGGACTGTTTTCTGAGCCCTCCGGACCTGAGACTGAGTTTTGTCTTTTTCCTTTAGCCTTAGCAGTGGGTATGAGGTGTGCAGGGGGAGCTGGGTGGCTTCACTCCACCCATTCCAAAGAGGGCTCTCCCACCACACAGCAGCCGGGAGCCTCTGCTATCCTCCCCAGCCTCCTCTTTGCTCCTCGGGCTCATCACCGGTTCTGTGCCTGTACTCTGTTGTGTTGGAGGGAAGGACTGGCGGTTCTGGTTTTTACTCTGTGAACACTTTATTTAAGGACATTCTTTTTTATTGGCGGCTCCATGGCCCTCGGCCGCTTGCACCCGCTCTCTGTTGTACACTTTCAATCAACACTTTTTCAGACTAAAGGCCAAAACCTAATCGTGTGCATCGTGTCCTTTTTTTTTTCCTGCTGCTGTGGCCCTAGATTTGGCCCCATCCATAGCATCTGGAGCGTCCCCGTGTGCGTGTGCGTGTGCCCGTGTGTGTCCCGCGCGTGTGTAGGCCAGCCCCGAGCGAGCTGCTGGGGGGCCGACCTGGCGGGCGTCAAGACTGCTCCTTCTTCCCTCCTGGAGCCAGAAATGATCTAGTTCCCCCAGGAAGGGGTCGGGACTGGTCTGCCGGGCCTGAAACCTGGAGTCGGGCCGGGCGCCTCCGGCCGGCTCCCAATGACTGCTGATTGGCTGGCTCGCCGCCTCGTCACAATCACTTCCCGGTCACGCCATGGAGGCTCCCGCCGCGGCCGATTCTCACGGACTACGCGTCCCGTGCGGCTCTGCGGCGGCGGAAGCGGAAGCGAGTACGGAGGTACCAGCTGGTCTCCGTAGGGGGGTAGGGGGCTCCATGAATGGAAGCGGCGGCGGCGGCGGGAGCGGCCTGAGCTGGGCGCTGGGGCCAGGGCCGAGGGCTGCCCAGGGCCCGCGCCGCTGCATGGGGGCGGCCCGCGGGCCCTGAGAGGAAGGGCGGACAGGCGGGCTGAGATAGGAGGGGCGGGGTCGGGCGGCCACAGGCCGGAGGCGCGTCGGGCTGGAGCCGGTCACGATGCCCCGAAGGAAGCAAAGCCACCCGCAACCCGTGAAATGCGAGGGGGTCAAAGGTCAGGGGTCAGGGGCCTTGAGGGGGAGAGGAGCGGGGGTGGGGGTCAGTGGAGTGGGCTCAGGTCATGGTGGAGGGCGACTCTTGAGGGATGAGGTGGGCGATCCAGATTCCTAGCTTCCCACCGAGGCAAGGGAATCAGAGTGGGTCAGTGAGTACGGGAAGTGTGGTCCACGAGGGCTGGCTCCTGAGGGAGAATCCACAAGCCCCCTCCCCTCTTCAGTGGATACTACTGAAGACTCCCTCGACGAAGGACCCGGGGCTCTGGTATTGGAGAGTGATTTGCTACTAGGCCAGGATCTGGAGTTTGAGGAGGAAGAGGAGGAAGGCGACGGCAACAGTGACCAGCTCATGGGCTTCGAGAGAGACTCGGAAGGTGGGTTTTCGGGACTTAGTTAAGGATTTGTGACCGCTGGAGACCTCAGCCCTTCAGAAGGCGGGTTAGGTGAACAGAACACCATTTCCTGCCACAACTGAGGGCTGGTTTAGTTTACATTTGAGCTCAGTGACTTCATTTGTTTAATGGTCCAATGACTTCCATCACTTTGTTGAGGTGAAGTTCTGAGGCCTGGTCAAAGGTGATATGAATAGGAGGGTGGGTGAATCACATGCAGCAACTGATTAAAAGTAAATGTCCTGTCCCTCTCCCAGGCCCATTCCTTATGTGTATTTACTTTTAAGAGGTTCAGGGAAGCAAACTCTCTGTAAATCATTCAACCCAGTACTTAGGTCTAATGTAACCCTTTCACCTGCAGTGTAAGCTCCTTTTGTATTGAGAGGTTTTAGTTTGTCTTTATCCTTCCATGTGCCTCTTCCCTGTGATCTTAGCATCACCCTACCCTAATTTGCTGCACTACCCATCCACTTAGCAAGATGTTTTTGAAATTCATTGAGGGGATCCATGTAAATATGAATCTATTCTTCAGCCAGACAAGTGGTATTACGTGCATTACTTTCATTGTCTCCACTTCCCTCCAAATTTTGCCTGAGAGATAGGTTTCATTTTACAGCAGCTCCTTACTAAAAGGGGCCTTAGCAATAGAGTTTAGAAAAAGTCTCGGGGCTCTCTGCCTTTTGTATTTTTACTTTCTTATCTCAAGAATTAATTACATTACTGATTCATTTCAGTCTGTGGTCCACTGTGAGCCCTTGATCCTTGCCCATTCAATGAAACTAGATACAGATCAATTTTTCTATCATTAGATGAGTCCAGTCTAAGAGGTAGAAAATTCATGTTGAATTTTCTGGAATTATTGCAGGGGAGACCTTGATTTCTAGGAGGGAACTAAAGGGATCATCAGAGCTAAGGGTGGAGCCAAGCAAGTGGTGAGACCATAAGTGAAAAAGGGAGTGTATGGAGCCTGATCCTACCCCATGCTGATGTCTCTTCTCATGTCTGTTTCACCAGGAGACTCTCTGGGGGCCAAGCCTGGGCTTCCCTATGGGCTGAGCGACGATGAGTCTGGGGGCGGCCGGGCACTAAGTGCCGAGAGTGAAGTTGAGGAGCCAGCCAGGGGTCCAGGGGAGGCCAGGGGTGAGAGGCCAGGCCCAGCCTGCCAGCTGTGTGGGGGGCCGACAGGTGAGGGGCCGTGTTGTGGGGCAGGAGGGCCGGGTGGGGGGCCCCTGCTGCCCCCACGGCTACTGTACTCATGCCGCCTCTGCACCTTCGTGTCCCACTACTCGAGCCACCTGAAGCGGCACATGCAGACACACAGCGGGGAGAAGCCGTTCCGCTGTGGCCGCTGCCCCTACGCCTCAGCCCAGCTCGTCAACCTGACACGACATACCCGCACCCATACTGGCGAGAAGCCCTACCGCTGTCCCCACTGCCCCTTTGCCTGCAGCAGCCTGGGCAACCTGAGGCGGCATCAGCGTACCCATGCAGGGCCCCCCACTCCTCCCTGCCCGACCTGTGGCTTCCGCTGCTGTGCTCCACGACCAGCCCGGCCTCCCAGTCCCACAGAGCAGGAGGGGGCGGTGCCGCGGCGACCTGAAGGTAAGAGAGGCCAGGGACCAAAGATCTTGGGACATGGGTGGCTGGTCCTAGGAATGCTTGGATTGGATTCATAGCCCAGGTCTTTGTCCCCACAGATGCTCTGCTCCTTCCAGATTTGAGCCTCCATGTGCCACCAGGTGGTGCCAGTTTCCTGCCAGACTGTGGGCAGCTGCGGGGTGAAGGGGAGGGCCTCTGCGGGACTGGATCAGAACCACTGCCAGAGCTGCTGTTCCCTTGGACCTGCCGGGGCTGTGGACAAGAGCTGGAGGAGGGTGAGGGTAGTCGGCTGGGAGCTGCCATGTGTGGGCGCTGCATGCGAGGAGAGGCTGGAGGGGGTGCCAGTGGGGGGCCCCAGGGCCCCAGTGACAAAGGCTTTGCCTGTAGCCTCTGCCCCTTTGCCACTCACTATCCCAACCACCTGGCCCGGCACATGAAGACACACAGTGGTGAGAAGCCCTTCCGCTGCGCCCGCTGTCCTTATGCCTCTGCTCATCTGGATAACCTGAAACGGCACCAGCGCGTCCACACAGGAGAGAAGCCCTACAAATGCCCCCTCTGCCCCTATGCCTGTGGCAATCTGGCCAACCTCAAGCGTCACGGTCGCATCCACTCTGGTGACAAACCTTTTCGGTGTAGCCTTTGCAACTACAGCTGCAACCAGAGCATGAACCTCAAACGTCACATGCTGCGGCACACAGGCGAGAAGCCCTTCCGCTGTGCCACCTGTGCTTATACCACAGGCCACTGGGACAACTACAAGCGCCACCAGAAGGTGCATGGCCACGGTGGGGCAGGAGGGCCTGGTCTCTCTGCCTCTGAGGGCTGGGCCCCACCTCATAGCCCACCCTCTGTTTTGAGTTCTCGGGGCCCACCAGCCCTGGGCACTGCTGGCAGCCGGGCTGTCCATACAGACTCACCCTGAACTAGGTCCTTCTTCCCCATGTTTTATACAGACGGACTAGAAGCCACCTTCTTCCTCCCCCGCTGGCCAGGGGCTCCACACAGACTAACCTAGGCACTATAAGGACCAGCCCAACCCCATGGGCGGGGGGCCATATGGACCGGGGGCCTTGCCTTGACTGATGCACTTCATGAGCTCAGTGAGAAGGGCCCTGTATTCACCTCCACTGCTCCCAAGGGCTGTGGACAACCTGGCTGGAGGACTGCCCAGCCTCCCACCTGTTTATTTAACTTATTTCAGTGCTTTATAATAAAGGAAACACTAACAAAGCCATGTCTATGCTGAATTGGCAATGGCAGGCAGTTTAGCCTTACCCTTAGCATAGTAGTCCATGCTGTGATGATGGGGGAAGCAGGGACAGTGAGAGGGAACCAGAGGTAGGCAGCAATCAGGCCAAGTTTAATGATGGGGAACTGGGCCACACCAAACACAGACCTCTGCCCATCCCCTTGGCCTTTGGTCCATGGCCCCAAGAAGCCAGAAGTGGCCCAGAGGGAGCTGTGGTTCCTCCCCAAGACAGGTAGCCATGGTCCCTTGGACTCTGTGCAAAACACTAAATGCTAATTTGGCATCAAGGGCCAGCTCTGAAAAGAGAAGGAGCCATCCTTTGTGCAGCCAGCCCAGGGGACAAGGAAAAGTAGGATACGAGGCCCCTGGCCAAGAGAAAAGCGGAAAGTAGGAAGGCGGGGAAGGAAAAGACCCTCCTCCCTCGCGAGCTTGGGGGACACAGGCACAGGGCAAGTTTCAATTCCTCTGGGGTAGAGGGCAGACATCCAAGCAGTGGAGATTACAGATCCTCATCTCCAATGCCCTCGAAGGCAAAATTGCCGTGGACATCACTGGCACTGGCATCTGTGCTGGGACTGCCAATTCCCCGCAAGCTCACAGCACTCAGCTTACTCTGTAACAAAGACAGGGTGGAGTCAGAAAGCTTGGGTGTGCAAGGTCCCCCAACACCAACCTCACCAACCCTGGAACTCACTGAGAGTTTGACCATAGAATCCCGGGTGGCATCAGGTGACTCCTGGGGAAGAAGAGGCAGAGGTGTCAGAAACCCACTAGGAGAGGTGAGGCAGGGCTGAGAGCCAGGGTTCTGACCAGGAGGTAATACTTACAAGCAGTGGTGGGGACTTCACTGCTTGCTGGCTGTCTGACCGTCTCAGAGTGCCCCCCACCCGCCGGCGCAGCATCTGGGGTCAGAGACAAGGTGCCGGTGAGGACAGGATCACTTCCCCTCTCAAGAAAAGCCTCACACCTAGGACAAAAGGCAGGGGGAGCACACCCACTTGCTGCTCAGTCCACACTTGCTGCCTACCTTCCTGATACTGCCACCAGATTTCTTCACCATCAGCTCATCCACCATGGACTGCAAGCAGATGCTCATCATGATAGCCTGAGGGCAAGAAGAGTGCCCAGCTTGACAAGAGTGGTCACTCTGAGCCCAGCACCACTAAGGGCTCCCACATTGAGTACTAGAAAGCCTACACTTTTATCTAAGGGGCTCCAGAGGCCTGAGGGTAGGTTCACACCTGGGGGCTCGTGATGGTGACCCACTGTAGCCGGTCCTTGCTCATGAGGTATTCAAAAGCCAGTTCCAGACGCACCTCACCCCGGCCCCGGCCTGGGCTACTTGTGCCTCCACTGGGCAATGGCACCTGGGAGAGGAAGGGGAATTAGGCTGAGTTCACTCTGACCAACCTGCCTGCCTCCCTGACCCACTGCAGCCCATTGCCTAAGCTCAAGGCTTTCCAGGCCCCCATCCCAGGCCTCCCCTTCCTACCCCAACTCACAGAGGAGGTGACCCGCCAGCATCGCATGCGGGTGACCCGGAAGGAGCCTTCTCGGAGTTGCTGGCCAGGCAGGCGGAGCTGGAGGCTGAGCTCACTGTTGCCTGCGCTCACCACCACAGGACAGTCCTTCTCTGGGAAGTCAGCCACACAGGCATCAAAGCGCAGGTAGCCATAGTGCCGCAGTGTCTGGGCCAGTCTCAGGAACTGAAAAATGGTCATCACGTGGGGTAGATTAGGAGGGGGAATGGGGCAGCTCAGACAAAGCAACCCTTTGGAGGGAGACAGAGAGGCAGGGCTCACCTCCTTCTTGGAGACTTTCTCTTGCAAAGATTTGAGTTGCCGATGCTGTTCCTTGGTGACCAAGATCCACCCACGCTCAATATCTGATACTGTCTATAGTAGAGACAAGGGGCAGGCATTAGGAGGTCCCAGTCAGCAATCCAAGGAAAGTGTCTACAGTTAGCGCTGTCCAGCCTGACCCCTAGCCCCACACTTGAGTGACCTCTTTGTAGTAAGTCCTGGATCTTATCAGCTTAATAAAAGTAAGGAGAGTAGATATTGTGCCAGCAGCACTGATAGTATTCTAGGAACTTCCCCATGAACTGGGAACAAAGACATGACAGGAGTTTTCTTGGGAGAGTGAGTCACGAGTTATATTCTTCAGGGGAAGGGTTCTGAGGCAGCTCCAAGCTCACCTGAGCATAAAGCAGGTTCAGGCCAACCCGGTTCTCCATGACATCGTCATCATAGGCAGAGTCCCAATAACTGTGAGGCCAAGGGGTGGAAAGGGGTAATGGAGCTAAGCTGGGGTAAGGCAAGAGGTAGAATGGAAAATGGGCAAAACAGGAGCAATCTGGAACTATCAGGGGCTAATGGTATACTGGAAGGAAGCTTGGGAGGCCTGGCAGAAACACCCAGCACTATACCCCCTTGTCCAGATTATTCTGTCTCAATATGTGGCCCAATAATCCACTCTACATGGCACCCCCCAACCCCACTTCCAGGCCCAGCCCTAACCTCTTCCTGAGCACAATCTTATACTCTTGACTCCGAAGACTGGTAACAGACACATAAGGCAGCTCGAACTCTTGCAACTTCCGTACAACTATGGGTTTTTTAAATTAAAAAAAAAAGGAAAACGTAATGAGATTTAAAGAAAGGGAAGTCAAGAAAGTAGTGCCCTGAGGCAATGCTCATGGGAGGGGAGGGGGGAGTTAGAGGGGCTGCAAACTCACTACTGGAAGTACAATGAAGCAGTCAAGTCCAGAGAAACTCACAAGAAAAGGCTCCATCCTCTTTTTCTCGAACTAAGAATAGACTAAAGTATCCAATCAAGTCATCTGGAAGATCCAGCTTTGCAGCTACAGCCTGGGGACGGGGACAGAAGTATAGTTCATCATACTAGCTGGTTCCAATAATTCTCCAAGCCCAGGACCCTGGGGTGCAGGGGGAGAAGGGACAGTGCTGAACAAGTGCCTCACCTCCAGGACGTCCTCAGTTTGATCTGAAGTTAGCACGTTGACCAGAACTTTCTGCCCATTGCTGAGCAGCACTTCCAAGGATACCTCCTCTGTGGGGACCTGCTGTGTCTCCTGTTGTGAGCATACATGGGGATTGGAGGCACTGCCTTGTCCCTTACCCTGACCTATGTCCAACTCTATTTCTAGGTCTCTTTTGTATCTTTATTCTCAGCTGCTTAAATACAGGCTGGGATTTCTTTGATTTCATGGGAATTAGCAGAAGTTCCATTTAATTAAAAAGACGACTTCTCTGTTATTATACTAAAATGTCATGGCCTGGTCAGGCATGGTGGCTCACACCTGTAATCCCAGCACTTTGGGAGGCCAAGAAGGGAGTTTGTGACTATCCTGGCCAACATGGCAAACTCTCATCTCCACTAAAAATACAAAAATTAGCCAGGCATGGTGGTGGGTATCTGTAATCTCAGCTACTTGGGAGGCTGAGGCCGGGGAATTGCTTGAACCCAGGAAGTGGAGGTTGCAGTGAGCTGAGATTGCACCACTGCACTCCACCCTGGGCAAGAGAGTGAGACTCTGTCTCAAAAAAATAAAAAGGTCCTTTCCTTAAATCTTGGTCCCACCCAAAGCCCTACCTGTTGTGCCCGACGCAGGAAACTGTTGAAGGTCTCGCTGCTCCCAAGCAATGGGTCTTGCCGAACTATGGGGACAAGAAAACAATATTACAGGAACTTAGGAGTCACTCTTGGCTCCCCAGTCCTCCACTCAGTAGGTTCTCCAGACCCCATTTCCTGGGCTGATGGTGGCCTGCCACATCCCCCAGCTGGCCTCACCTCACTCACTGTTTGCATAAATTCTTCACCTGCCCCACCCTTGGCTGCCATCTAGGTGAGTCCAGTCTATAGAACTAGGGAAATAACAATGATGTTAATCTAAAGCACATCAGATACAAATTAAGTTCTCTCCACTAATCTTAAGACTAGTGTTATACTAGTATTTCTCATAGATGTTAGTGCCCAAATTGTTTTGCTAGTACATAGAGTTACATATCCTTGTAGACTATTTACTTTGCTAATTACATAACAGATCAAACAAGAGGCTTCCCAGATCTAGAAATTAAATCAGGCCCTTCTACAGAACCAGCTATTTTCAAGTCTCTCCCCGTAGTCCTCAGTATAGTCAACCTAAAGTTTCCTGCAACCACTCACCAGCTTGCATGTACTTCTCTAACTGCTCTCTCCTCTGTTCTACCTCAGCAGGAGTCAGAGAGAAAAGCTTCTTTGGGGGGAATGCAGGAAGCACATTGGCCCCATACTCCTTCCGAAGCTATTTAGAGAAAGAGATACAACCCTTCACATAAACACAGAAAATGAGAGGAGGCAATCTACACTCATAATGTTCTCTTGAGCACCCCTCCCTTCCCCTCAGTCCCTGCTCCCCTATCTATCCTGGTCATCTGAGAAACAACTCCTTTGGCAGTGGTAGCATCTCAAGGGAGCTGTCCTCGATATAAGTTGTTCTCTATCTTATTGTGTACAAGTCAACCCCTTTACAGTATGGGGAGGATTTGTAATGGGCCAGGACCCATAGGGATCCCCTTGACCACCTAGTAAGACTGTTCACTGAACCCTCACAGGAAGCAAAGGGCTTTATAACGTGCACAGTTAATAGCTAAGTCTGTTCACAAAGTATCTTAGAACTTAAAGGGACTTTGTAGATCAAAGAATTCATCTTTCAGTTGTAGAAAACTTAGGACCAAAGTAATGCTCAGGCACGGTGGCTCACGCCTGTATTCTCTGCACTTTGGGAGGCCGAGGTGGGCAGATCACCCGAGGTCAGGAGTTCAAGACCAGCCTGGCCAACATGGTGAAACCCCGTCTCTACTAAACATACAAAAATTAGGTGGGTGTGGTGGCCGGCACATGTAATCCCAGCTACTCAGGAGGCTGAGACAGGAAAATCGCTTGAACCCGGGAGGCAGAGGTTGGAGTGAGCTGAGATCATGCGGCTGCACTTCAGCCTGGGCGACAAGAGCAAAACTCCATCTCAAAAAAGAAAGGAAAAGAAAAAAAAAGAACTCAGATAACTTGCTCAGGGTTGTACAACTAATTATCAGTGGATATCTGAGTTAAATAGACTTTACAATCTCCTAAGGAAGGAGAACAGACACTGCATCACAGATACATAACGACAACTGTAACAGCTAAAGCGTGGAAACGAGCCAAAGAACACAAAAGGAAATTGGTGAATCGTTTGTTTAAGCAGGGAAAAGAATTTCAAGTTGCAGCTCAGATGACAGAAGGAATGTGCTTTGACAGCCTAGGTTGAGGTAGCAGAGGGTAGGGGATGGTTTGTCCATGCAAGGGTAAAGGCTACTAGGGCACGAAGACTGGACAGAGAACCAGGGTATGAGTACAGGAAGGAGCAATTGTTGCGCAGACGTTAAGCTTCTTAGGGAGTTCCCCGGAAATGTCAGACAAGACAAACCAGGACCCTTCCCTGTGGCAATGATTAAAGGGGAACTACAGCCTACGGGAACAAGGGCGGGTAAAGGGAGACACAAATGCCCATGTGGAGGGAAAGGCTTGAAGCTGTTTTAAGGCAGGGGTGCTAGTCCCACCTGCTCGTGCAGCCCCAGGAGCTGGCTGTAGCGCACCCGACAGTGTAGGACTCCATTCACGTGTATATTATAGGCCTGAGGACACAAAAGTAGTCAAGCATTTTAGGGTTGCGGTCTGCGCAACCCCCTTGAGGACCTTGGCAGAAAGTTGCCTGGCAACTCCGCCGGAGTAACGCGCTAATCTCCCAAGGGTTGGTTCGCTTGTTTTCTCCAGGGCCACGTCCCAAAGCTGAAGAGCAGTCCGGGGGAAATTCGGACGCTTGTGTTGCAGTCTCCCTTCCCAAGAGGCCAGTGACGCCCACCAGAGCAGCCGCGGCCTAGCTGGGGGAGGCGACCCGGCAGAACAAAGGGCCTACAGGAGCTCGGGCGACCACTGTACGAATCCGACACACGAGATAAGCTCCTAGAGAGGCCGTCGGGAGTAGGCAGCCCAGGACCAGGCCCGAAGGGTGGCAGTCAGGCCTCGGAGATCGCTCCGAGAGGGCTCGGGCCCGTTATCCCCGCCCCTGCCCGGCCCGGCTTCGGCCGCTCCTCACCACGTAGGCGGAGCCGCCGCTGTCCCCGCTGCGGGACTCGGTTTCGGGAATGGAAAAGTGCATGTTCCCTACGGCAGGGCCCTGCCGGGCTCCGGACTGTGAGGGCCGCAGCGGCTCTGCACGCTCCCTTCCGCTGCTCAGCGAGTCTCCGCAGCCTCACTCGCCATTTTGAGAGCCCTGCGATCCGAAGTGGGGAGGCGGTGGGACGTCGGCCGCGGGACGCAGCCGCTCGTACATGCTGGGAACTGTAGTCTAAAGGGCAGGAGCCGCCTTTCGGGACCGGGAACCCAAAGTGCACTTGGCCCTCGTTGCGACCCGTAGAGCGGGGCGGGGGCGGAGCGGGGCCCCATGGTCCATCGGAAGTTGTAGTCCGATTGGAGCTGCACGCTTCGCTTCGGTGGCTCAGCCTCCCGCCCAGGTGGCGCTGTAGACCCAGCGGCCGCGGAGCCAGGCAGCGGGGCGGCTTCGTGACCGCGGCGGGCGGAGCCTAGGACTGAGGGCGATGGCTGCCGTGGCCGTGGCTGTTCGCGAGGGTGAGTGAAGGGCCGGGCCTGCCTACCGGTACGGGGTCGACGAGCTTCGGACAGCTAGTGCCGGGCCCTGAGAGCTTTTGGGCCCCGCCGCTCCCTTCTGGCGCCACGCTGGGCTCCGGTCTACACAGTCTCGAGCGCAGTCCCGCGCCGCTGCACCGGCTGGTTCCTGTAAGGCGGGTCGGTGACCTCTCCTTTCCTTTGATCCGCCGCGCAGTGCGTCCCCACGCGGATCCCTGGCTCGCCTCGCGCCTGGCTGCGGAGCCGTGGTCATGCCAACCCAGCAGCCGGCTGCGCCGAGTACGAGTGCCCCCAAACCCTCCCGGAGTCTCTCTGGCTCACTTTGTGCCCTGTTTTCTGATGCAGACTCGGGATCCGGGATGAAGGCGGAGCTTCCCCCTGGGCCTGGGGTAAGTGAGGCTTCCCTCCCAAGCTGCCAGCCAAGCGCTACGCAGGAGGCTATGCCAGCTTTATTCCGCCCCAGCTCCCATTCCGTTTCAGTTTCTCAGTAAGCCAGACGATTTTACAGAGTTCTTCCAACCCTAGCAATATGTGATTCTGTCCCTGGAGGAGAAACTTCAGTCTCTGGATGTAAACTTGTAACAGGTAGCTTGTAGAAGTTAGGGGGAACTAGGGATTTTAAATCGTGAAAATCTTGTAAGCATCCAATAGTGTTTGTTCCCCTTTGGAATTGTTGGGGAAGAGCAGTATCCTATGTCTGTGTCTCAGGCAGTGGGGAGAGAAATGACTAAAGAAGAGAAGCTGCAGCTTCGGAAGGAAAAGAAACAGCAGAAGAAGAAACGGAAGGAGGAAAAGGTGGCAGAACCAGAAACTGGCTCTGCTGTATCTGCAGCCCAATGTCAAGGTGCGGTTTTTTTTTTTAAAGGGCTGGGATGTGGAGCTGGTAGAGGGATATGGTGGGAGAGAGAAGGGAGAGACAGGACAAAGTTGGTTTGAGCAAGTGTGTAAAGCAAAGAGGTTTAGATAAACAAGGAGAGAAGCTAGTTTGGGCTAGGGCACGGATATTGCCTGCAGACAGCTTGCACACCTTTTTTTTTTTTAAATGCTTTTAGTAGGCCCAACCAGAGAACTGCCAGAATCGGGCATTCAGTTGGGTACGCCTGGGGAGAAAGTTCCAGCTAGTCGGAGTAAGGCTGAACTTCGGGCTGAGCGCCGAGCCAAGCAGGAGGCTGAGCGGGCCCTGAAACAGGCAAGAAAAGAACAAGGAGGGCCACCTCCTAAGGGCTGCCCCACCACCTCCAGCAGAGCTGGAGAAACCCCCTCAGGTATTTTCCCTTCATTTTAAGACCTCCCTTACTCCTAATTCTAACACCAGCTCAGGCTGCCCTGTAATAAAACAGCTCTCCCCTCTCATTCTCACCTTTGGACCCAGAGTTCTGAATTCTTCCCACAACCCCATCACCCTACCCTATTTCCTTATCTATCCTATTCTCCTGTTTCCCCAACCTCATCCTGTTTTTCTTGATGCCCCTTATACCCTAAGAGCAAATTACCCATTTCAAGACCTACAGTGTCCTGAAAACAGGATCATTATCTTTCAGGAGTGAAGCATCTCCCTGAGTACCCTCAGGTTGATGACCTACTTCTGAGAAGGCTTGTTAAAAAACCAGAGCGTCAGCAGGTAGGAAGTGGGTTTGCTGCCTGGCTAGAGAGAGCCTAGAGAAAGGGACTGGAGTGGGGAAATGTGCTGGGAACAGAGACCTTGGAGAAGGATGGGTGCTTGGGTCAGAGTAGTGTTACTGTTCACTTCCCCTCCAGCTTTATCCCAACATTTTAAAACTCTGGACCATTGGTGCTGTTCCCCTGTTTTGTCTAGGTTCCTACACGAAAGGATTATGGATCCAAAGTCAGTCTCTTCTCTCACCTACCCCAGTACAGCAGACAAAACTCTCTAACACAGTTTATGAGGTAGGATCCTATGACATTGTCATAACTTTTGAGTCTGAGGAGTTTTAGTAAGTCAGTATTGAAAGTGAATAGTAATCTGAGATTGGCTCTGTGGGAAGAAGTATGAACCCAATGCAGAACTCTAGAGGAACTGGGGAGATCTGTGCTAGTGAAGGAAGTTCCTTTTCATCAGGGGCAGGTGGGCAGTAGGTGTTCAAGCTCCCTTTCAAAGTATGTGACACCGCCATCCCATCAGCATCCCATCCTCTGTGATCCACCCAGCCATGGTGCGACTCGGCCTGCAGTACTCCCAGGGCCTGGTCAGTGGCTCCAATGCCCGGTGTATTGCCCTGCTTCGTGCCTTGCAGCAGGTATGTTCCATCGTGTTCTCTCTTATGATCCAACCCCAACTCCCCCAACACTACCCCAGCTTCTGTCACCCAAGGTCACCTCTGGGGGACAGAGGGAATACTCCCACTCTCAGAACATTTTCCTCAGTGAAGCTTACCCCTAATCTCCCTTCAGAGGTCTTTATTAAGGGGCATTTTGCAGATCAACTTGTGTACTCTGTAGGTGATTCAGGATTACACAACACCGCCCAATGAAGAACTCTCCAGGGATCTAGTGAATAAACTAAAACCCTACATGAGGTAGGAACAACCACTCTTAAGTCCACTCCCACCTCACCCAATCTTTGTCCTGTACTGTTTCCTGCTTTCCTATCTCTGTTTTCATTTTCTGTTTTATTTTCTTTTCAAAGACATTTTTTTAAATGTGAAAGCTTTGTTAGTTGTGCAGAGTTGCACAGAAGTAAGGTATTGCTATTGCATTATAGCTTCCTGACTCAGTGCCGTCCCTTGTCAGCGAGCATGCACAACGCCATCAAGTTTCTTAACAAGGAAATCACCGGTGTGAGCAGTTCCAAGCGGGAAGAGGAGGTGATGAGTATGAGAAATGAGGAAGGCATGCACCATGGGTAGAATTAAGAAACATGTTCAGAACTCCGGGGAGGGCCAACATAAGCCATTTTTGCGCTGGTCAAGGGTTAAGGAAGGGTTTGGGCATTCTGCCTTCTGCCATCTTTGTCATTATACACATGTTCAAGCACCTGGCATGATCATCATTAGAAAGGAGTTCCTTTCTTATTCATTAAACATTTTACTCCATTTAGGCCAAGTCAGAACTTCAAGCAGCCATTGATCGGTATGTGCAAGAGAAGATTGTGCTTGCAGCTCAGGCAATTTCACGCTTTGCTTACAAGAAGATCAGTAATGGAGATGTGATCCTGGTATACGGATGGTATGGTCCAGACCCTATAAGCAAATTGGGGAGTTGGAATGATCTGAAGAAGGATTACCCATTTGCCTTTGGGAACAAGTTAGTCATCAGTTAGTGACATTTATAACTGAATCCTCCTCTTCATTTACTCTAGCTCATCTCTGGTATCAAGAATTCTTCAGGAGGCTTGGATAGAAGGCCGGCGGTTTCGGGTGGTAGTGGTGGACAGCCGGCCACGGCTGGAAGGAAGGCACATGCTTCGTTCTCTAGTCCGTGCTGGGGTCCCCGCCTCCTACCTGCTGATTCCTGCAGCCTCCTATGTGCTCCCAGAGGTGAGTACAGAAGAAAAGGACTCCAAAGTTGGAGGTAAAAAGGGGTAGTAATATAGACATAATCTCACCTTCCCAAAGTTACAGTTTTGTTTTGTAACTTTTGTGCAAGATGGAGTACAGTGGTATGATCATAGTTCACTGCAGCCTTGACCTTCTGGGTTCAAGTGATCTTCCCACCTCAGCCTCTGAGTAGCTGGGACTACTGGTGTGCACCACCATGCCCATGTAATTTTTTATTTTTCTTGTAGAGATGGGATCTTGCTATATTGCCCAGTCTGGAACTCCTGGGCTGAAGCAGTTCCCCCTGCGGTGGCCTCCCAAGGTACTGGGATTACAGGCATAAGCCACTGTGCCCAGCCACAGTTATTTAGAAATATTAGAATTATATAGTCCTGGTCTGGCGCTGGGGCTCATGCCTGCAGTCTCAGCACTTTGGGAGGCCAAGGCGGGAGGATCACTTAAGCCCAAGAGTTGAAGACCAGCGTACTCAACATTATGAGACCTTGTCTCCACAAAAAATAAAAAATTAGCTGGGCATGGTGGCACGTGCATGTAGTTACAGCTACTTAGGAGGTTGAGGTGGGAGGATCACTTGAGCCTAGGAGGTTGAGGCTACAGTGAGCTGTGATTGCACCACTGCACTCCAGCTTGGATGACAGAGTGAAACTGTGTCAAAAAAAAGAATTACATAGCCCTGTTTGTATTTAATTGGAAAAACATTGACACTGTGTTACACTGTCATCACATTAAACTAGCAACCATGAAGAGAGAACAGGACAAAAGTAACTTCAAAGTTTAGTGTTCCTGTGGGAGATTTGGTGGGTCAGTGGGCAGGTGTTTTCACAGAAGAGCCATCATTAAGGTGTTTTCACAGAAGAAAAGCCATCATTAAGATTTATTACTTCTCTCTTTTTCCTTCCCTTCTTTTCACAGGTGTTGAGATTTATTAATTGTCTTAATGTTGCTTTCCTGGAAGTAGGGGACCTTATTCTGCACTGGTACAACAATGACATTCTTTTCTTCCCCTTCTCCTGTGAAACAAACAGGTTTCCAAGGTGCTATTGGGAGCTCATGCACTCTTGGCTAATGGGTCTGTGATGTCTCGGGTAGGGACAGCACAGTTGGCCCTGGTGGCTCGAGCCCATAATGTGCCAGTGCTGGTTTGCTGTGAAACATACAAGTTCTGTGAGCGTGTGCAGACTGATGCCTTTGTCTCTAATGAGCTAGGTAAGGAGGGCAGAAGAGAAGCCTCCAGCTACCTGTTAAGACTTGAGGGAGAGGGAGAGGGGTGGTTAAACTGGAACTTCTTTTCTGAAAGAACATAATGGGTACACCTTCCATTGCAGATGACCCTGATGATCTGCAGTATAAGCGGGGAGAACATGTCACGCTGGCTAACTGGCAGAACTACGCATCCCTGCGGTTGTTGAATCTAGTTTATGATGTAACTCCTCCAGAGCTTGTGGATTTGGTGATCACGGAGCTGGGGATGATCCCTTGCAGTTCTGTACCTGTTGTCCTACGAGTCAAGAGCAGTGACCAGTGAGGGGGAAACGGGGTTAATAAATGCCATACTCCCTATCCTCAGCAACTCTGCTGCCTTTGTTTCTCTTTTAGCATCTCCACCACCTAAGTTAGGAATTCAGACTCCGCAACCCCTTTTATCACCTGCTACTAACCTCAGACCTTTGTGGAGACCCTCTCAGGTAACTAGCTCCATGCCAGTACATCGGGGCTAATGTGAAGGTCAGTATAAAGAACAAAAACTACCCAAATCATCAGTCATTCACTGAGCATCTACATGTCAGACACTTAACTAGGTATGAGGGGGAATATGAGGACAAATAGTCCTGGGCTGGGTGCACTGACTCATTCCTGTTATTTCACCATTTTGGGAGGCAAAGACAGGATTACTTGAGCCCAGAGGTTTGAGACAAGCCGGGGCAACATGGCAATCCTGTCTCTGCAAAAAATAAAAATTAGCTGGGCATGGTTGTGCTCATCTGTTGTCCCAGCTACTCAAGAGGCTGAAGCTGGAGGATTGCTTGAGCCCAGGAGGTAGAGGCTGCAGTAAGCCATGATTGTGCCATTGCACTCCACCCTGTCTCAAAAAAGAGTCCTAACTTTATAAATAAGCATTTGTTAAATACTTATTGTGTGTCAGAAACTGTTCTGAACCCTTTCCTACCCAAGTAGGAAGATTAATACAACTCTGTGAAGGCCAGGTGCTGTGGCTCATGCTTGTAATCCTAGTACTTTGGGAGGCTGAAGCAGGCGGATCACCTGAGGTCAGGAGTTCAAGACCAGCCTGGCCAACATGATGAAACCCTGTCTCTATTAAAAATACAAAAATTAACTGGGCATGATTGTGCATGCTTGTAATCTCAGCTACTCAGGAGGTTGAGGCAGGAGAATGGCTTGAACCCAGGAGACGGAAGTTGCAGTCAGTCGAGATCGAGCCATTGCACTCTAGCCTGGGCAACAAAGCGAGGTTCCATCTCTAAAAATAAAAACAATAATACAACTCTATGAAGTAAATGTGATTTTACAGATGAGATAATGGAAGCACAGAAAGGTTAAGTTGCTTGCCCAAGGCAACACAGCTCAGGCACAGAAAGGTTAAATTACTTGCCCTAGGTAACACAGCTAGGCAATAGCTAAACCAGGATGTGACCTCAGGCAGTCTGGATCAGAGAATGTGCCATTAACTTTTGTGCTCTATTTAAGGAGCACCACCTACCTTGGCATAGGAAGATTTGTCTGCAATGAGGTAACCCACTAGTAGTATAAACAAAAGATTGGTGAAGACTTCACAGGTCACATCTAACGTAGTCCTTGAAAGATAACTAATTTCCCAGTTGGGAGAAGAAAAAAAAAAAAAACTTGAACACAAAGAACAGGCCTTAAAGTGAGTGACAAGTGTAAAGGGTCACGTAGTATGATGAGGCTAGAACTGAGGTTTAATGTGAGTGATCAAGCTCCAAAAGTAAGTTGAGGCCAGATTGTGAGTCCATCACTGGTTAGCTTAAAATGGAGAGTTATCTACTGGGTATATGTGTATGCGTTTTATTGATTTTTTTTTTTGACAGAGTCTCACACTGTTGCCCAGCTGGAGTGCAATGGCACAATCTCGGTTCACTGTAACCACCACCTCCCAGGTTCAAGTGATTCTCCTGCCTCAGCCTCCTGACTACCTGGGATTATAGGTGCACACTACCATACCTGGCTAATTTTTTTTTGTTTGTTTGTATTTTTAGTATAGACGGGGTTTCACTATGTTGGCCAGGCTGGTCTTTAACTACTGACCTTGTGATCTGCCCACCTCGGCCTCCCAAAATGTTGGCATTACAGGATTGAGCCACCGCACCCGACCCTAATTTTTTTTTTTTGAGACAGAGTCTTGGCTCACTGCAACCTCCGCCTGCCAGTTTCAAGCAGTTCTCCTGCCTCAGCCTCCTGAGTAGCTGGGATTACAGGCATGTGCCACTATGCCTGGCTAATTTTGTATTTTTAGTAGAGATGGGGTTTCGCCATGTTGGTCAGGCTGGCCCCAAATTCCTGACCTCAGGTGATCTGCCCACCTCAGCCTCCTAAAGTGCTGCAATTACAGGCGTGAACCACTGCGCCTGGCCATACTATGCCGTTTTATATAAGAGACTTGAGCATCCACAGGTATTGGTATCTGCCAGTGTCCAGGAACAAATCTCAACAAATGGATACTGAGAGACAACTGTATTTACATTTGAGTATAAATACATAAAATGTCTAGACTGAAAACAAGAAACTGATTAATTGCCTGGATGGCTGGAGACAGAGGCAGAACGGAGTCTTCACCTTATAAATACCCTTGGTATCTTTTGAATTTTGAGCCATGTGAATGTCTTATTCCAGAATAAATATAATTATTTACTTTAAAAAGAGATTTGCAGTGGCTCACGCCTGTAATCCCAGCACTTTGGGATTACAGAGGTGGGTGGATCCCTTGAGATCAGGACGAGACCAGCCTGGCCAACCTGTTGAAACATCTTCTCTAATAAAAATACAAAAATTAGCCGGGTGTGGTGCCAGGTGCCTGTAATCCCAGCTACTCGGGAGGCTGAGGCAGGTGAATTGCTTGAACCCGGGAGGCAGAGGTTGCACTGAGCCAAGATCCACTTCAGCCTGGGAGACAAAGCAAGGCTCCGTCTCAAAAAAAAAAAAAAAAGAATTTTGCAATAGTTTAAGTCAAAGATAGCCTAATCTAAGGAAACAGGAATGAAGAGGCAGATTTGTTCATTACAGAAGTAAATGCTTGAAAGTGAGAGCTGTCCATCACACAAGCATTGCTAGCTAAGACAGAGTTGAAGACTCATGGGACTGGGTGTCCTCTTCCTCCCCCTTTTATTTTTATTTTCATTTTTTTGAGATGGAGTCTTGCTTTGTCGCCCAGGTGGGAGTGCAGTGGCACGATCTCAGCTCACTGCAACCTCTGCCTCCCAGGTTTAAGCAATTCTCCTGCCTCAGCCTCCCGAGTAGCTGGGATTACAGGTGTGCGCCACCATATCCAGCTAATTTGTATTTTTAGTTCAGACGGGGTTTCACCAAATTGGCCAGGCTGATCTCCGAACTACTGACTCAGGTGATCCCCCTGCGTCAGCCTCCTAATGTGCCGGGATTACAGGCATGAGCCACCACGCTCGGCTTTCTCCCTCTTTTAGGTCTTAGCTATCTCTGATAGTTTTCTTACATATATTGCACAACCAAGGGAATTTAATGGGTGAGATTACTTGGGCAGAGAAAGGTTTGTTTACTCCACCCCTTCCTTCTCCGCATTTATACATCCTGCACTCTCCTCCAGGTATGGGGAAACTTGCAAAATTTCTTTTTTTTTCATGTCTTGGTAACAGCAAAAGAGACCTGTGATATTTTTATGGCTTTTAGATGCCTCAGGAAAAGACAGAAACCTGTTGCATTCATTCCTCCTCCACCGCATCTCACCTACCTTTGACAGAATGGGGCAGGCCGGGCGCGGTGGCTCACGCCTGTAATCCAAACACTTTGGAGGCCAAGGTGGGCGCATCACCTGAGGTCAGGAGTTCAAGACCAGCCTGACCAACATGGTGAAACCCCGTCTTTATTTAAATAAATTTAAAAAAATAAAATTAAATTAAAAAATTAAAATTAAAATACAAAAAGGAATGGGGGCAAAACCTCTGACCAAGGGCAAGGACCAAGGCCAGGGCTCACTCTCATAGTACGGCCTGCCGGCCTCAGGCCACATTTTTCTCTTTTTTGCAATTCTCCTGCCTCAGCCTCCTGACTAAAGGTGCACCACCATACCCGCGTAGGGTAGCTTTGTATTTTTAGTAGAGACGGGGTTTCACCAAGTTGGCCAGGCTGGTCTCGAACTCCTGACCTTCAGTGATGCCTCAGCCTTGGCCTCCCAAAGTGCTGGGATTACAGGCATGAGTCGCTGAGCCGGGGCTCCTTTTTTTTTTTTTTACCTGATTCACCACGGGGGGGAAAAAAACAAAAAAAAAAAAAAAAAAAAAAAAAAAAAAAAAAAAAAAAAAAAAAAAAAAAAAAAAAAAAAAAAAAAAAAAAAAAAAAAAAAAAAAAAAAAAAAAAAAAAAAAAAAAAGGAAAGAGACGGGATCTCACTATGTTGCCCAGGCTGGTCTCGAATTCCTGGGCTCAAGTGATCCTCCCCCGCCTTGGCCTCCCAAAGTGCTGGGATTACAGGCATGAGCCACCACGCTCAGCCAAAGCCATCCTTTTCTACTCCTACTCCTTCCCTTCCTTGTCCTCTTTCCAAGCTCTCTCTGGCCCATCCCTGACTTCGCTACCGGCAGAAGCTGGAGTCATTTTCCAGCGGCCGGCGGCGAGGACTTCTTTGTCTCCCAGACTTGTCTTGGCCTCGTACGCCGCCAGGTTGCAGGTACAAACTTTCAGGTCCAGCCGGCTCCTAGGGCCACAGGCGCGGCCATGTGGCCTTAAAGGCAGGATTCAACGATCCAGAGCGCAAGCCTGGATAGGGAGTCCGCCTCCTCCCGGCTCCCGTCGAGGCCGCGTGGGAACCCGTTGGCCGCGCAGGCGTCGATCTCCCCTTTTGACACTGAAACTCCCATGAGGCCCTGCAGCGTCCCCGGCTTCGCTGAAGACGCCCTGGAAATCGGCCGGCTCCGCAGGGCTCGGTGACTCTGGCCGCACTGCATTATGGAATACAGAGTCTAAGAGAAAACTAGCGCGGCACCGACTCGCGACCAAGCTCACGTGTTTACCTTGTGCACTGGGGTGGGGGCGTCAGGGAAGAGCAGCTAACAAGATTTCGTCATAAGATCGCGACCAGACAGGCGGCGCCATCTTCGAACTTAGACTTCCGGAAGGACTTTGGCGAGGGTGAGTGTACCGCCGCTGCGGGTGTGTGGGGGGTCCCACGATTACTCTTCCCCCTTCTTTTGCCATAGCACTAAGATATTGGGAACAAAATCTGGCTCCGCTCTTCTCCCTGCCACAGCAGCGCCCCTTTCAGCGTCTGCGCTCTTACAGAGCACCATCATGCTCCGCACCTTCACTACTGTGGCCACCGTGCACCCCCCCTCTCAGCAAGCCT